AGAAAAAAAAAGAAATATATATATATAATATATATATAAAGAAAGGAAACGTGGGAAACTCTTGTCACAAGGAATAAATATATACATGGAGACTAAATATTCTAGAAAGATGGCGTGTATGACACGATTTTTAAAAGAAAGAAAAAGGACACAGCAAAAGATAAAATATTATATATATATATATATATTATATATGTATATTAGAGTCTCATACTAACAAAAACTTTTAGATATGTGACTATGACCTTTATTCATGTGACTTGTCACAATTCAATATGTGTGACACATCATACACTTATATAAATAGTGATCAACTAATCTTATACCCTTCTTATTTTTTCAAATTAAAACTGTAGTTATAACACTAAATAAGGTTTTTTTCATGTAATTAAACTATCCAAATTTATTAATCGTGAAGTGTGATCCGATCAAATATCATATAAATCATTTTTGAACCACGGCTTCCTTCATTTTCACAGGAAAAGGGAAAGGAGGGAACCCATTCAACCTGTTCTGAACCGGTAGCATGTGGTCACGACGCCGGGGATTTGAACCGGGCCAAAAACTCATCAACACATAGCAAACAACTACCACAACGACAGCCACTTTCAAGTTTATTTTCATGATCGCTAACACCAGCAATCCTAGAAAGAAATTCGACATGGCAAAGTCGAATCTAGGTTGCTGTACTTGTCTTGACAAGCTCTTGCACGTCAATGTAAATGACCCAAAGCAAATCAAACTCACTATGCTTTGATATCCATTTCCCTCCCCTTCCCCCTGTTTGCTTCGGTCATCATAATACGAGTAGAGAGACGTAAGTAGTAGAACCGAACAACTCACTAGTGTTTTCATCCGAAAAACCCTTGGGAATCGCTGCTCGATGTCTCTTACAAAGAGCATCAAGATGGAGAACATCAAGCTGGCGATACTGTACACGACGATCTTCAACAAGTTCCACTGTCCAAACAGTTTCTGAAACGGAGTCCCCAGGGCGAAACAGATGAATCCAAGTACACTTGACCCGAATCCCAGAAATCTCCATACGTTTGGATAGAAACTGGTCGGCATTGTGAAATTCAGGTGGATAAGACTTCAGATCGACGCTGCACTCTGCAGATGAATGCTGGAAGATGATGAGATCGAGATGGGCAGAACAAGTGGAAAAGATCAAGAATTAAATAAAACTAGAATGGATCCCGTCCGCAAGTTCTTGGAACCTGATTGTGATGTCTACTGTGGTTTAAAAAACACTTTAAACAACTCCAGCGAACCTGATGGAAGGGGGAAGCGGTGGAGGAAACTGGAAAGTGAAGAGATGAGGACCTCGGTGAATGTGAGTGTGGAAAAACGCGTTTCTGCTTTTGGTGTTTATTTGGGGACACCCTGATCGTGGTGTTGACTGTGGTTCAGAAAATTTTAACAACTTCCGCGGACCTGATGAATTATGGAAGTGGAGGAGGTGAAAGTGAAAGGATGAAGACCTCGATGAATGGGAGGTCGTAAGTATGGAAAAACGCGCTTTTTCTTTCGACGTCGCGAGTTTTAGGAACGCGTTGGGTTAAGGACATGGTGCTCATTAGTGTTTCATTAAAGCAAAAATAAATAAATAAATAAATAAATAAAATAAAATAAAATTGGGATTTAAATTTTTAATTTTAATTTTATATTTATTAAAATAAAATTTATAAATTTTTTAATAGTTGTGTTCATCATCAATCTCAAATTCTGAACATTATAGATTTAATATGAATGGTTTAATGAAATGCTAAAAAATTATATATATTTTGTAAATTCACGATCATTATCATTAATTAACCTAACAGGTGAATTTGGATTCGAATCTTCACACTTCTGTATATAATAATTTCATGGAAAGGTATCTACCATTTACTTTTTTTAATACTTTGGCAGAGATAATATTTGGTGTGAGTATAGCCTACTAATTACTTAATTATTACCAAACAACCGGGGAGTTTTTTTATTTTAACTAGCTTATTAGCATATAATGATTTGTAGTTTCATTGATGAAGATTGAATAATTCTCTGATTTTTTTTGGAGATATGGAAATGTGATGAAGTGTGTGTCTGAGCCTGGGAATTATTTGGCAGACCAAGTGGAATGCGTAAGTTTCTTCTTTTGATTAAATTAGTATTTGTTGTGAACAACAAAAATACTATACATGTCAGAGATGATGAGTCTCAAATGATAATAAAGAGTCCCTCAACTCTTTTATCACAGTTTATTTGAATGTAAAAGATACAAAAAAAATTAAAATAATAAGTATTTGATTAATAGAGTATGCAAATTATAAAGTTGTATAGATTACAATACTAAAGCTATTTGAAAACAAAAGTTGAAAGTGTAATAGTCGTCATCTCCTCTATGACCTTTTCTTCCTTTTATAATAGTTTAGCTAAGACAGTTGCTCTCACAGAATTTAGACCTCATTCGTGAAATATCAAGGTTGTAATAGGCACGACCATCGAGATATGTGGCATGATCTTCCTATTTGCAATGTGTATAGGTTAATTGCTAACCAATGTCCCTAGAATATCCATGGATAATTGCCATAGCTTTCAAGATTTGGGGCTTGTTGAGAACACGGTCTAGCTAAAGATTCCGAGTCTTGAGGGATTCATAAACCCTAATTGACTTAGTTAGGTTATTCTATAATGATCTAGACTGGCTCTGTTGTTGGATCACTTACTAGACCTAACTTTTCAGTTACTCAGCCCATTTCTGCTATAATCATGGTAAATGATGTTTTAGTTTTAGCCCAAATAATACCCCTTAAGTGCAAGTGGCTAGTAACTACAAGTCAAGCGACACATTTAAAAAAGGATAGAAATGTCATTTTATTTTTGTGCGCCTTCTTGCCAATATAAATTTCCCCCCTCACCCTTTTATCAATCCTTCCTATTTACTCTGCCATTTCTTGACCCTTAAGCTTCTACTCTTTGTTGCTTTTGCTACTTTGTCCAACAATGGCTTCCTCTTTTGCTGCTATTATGTCTGATGTTGCTCAAACCAATGCTCCTATCATGACCTTGGTCAAATATCTAACTACGATTCAAAATCCCGTCAACCTTTTAGGAGGACTTGCTACGGTAAGTATTCTGTCTTGAACTCGTATTTTTCTTGGTTTAAGTTTTTAGGCTAATGTTCTTTCTTTCGTTTTTTTCTTAAGAAGTTTTGTCATTTCATTCGTGCATCAGTTTCCGATAAGATTCTTTCCTTAGGTCAAATTCTTGCATTTTTTAAGGATTAATACTAATTGCATTTTACCTTTTTTCTTTAGCACTTCTCCTTAGCCATTCAAAGCAACATAAGGTTTTTGTCTATATCTTCAGATCTATTAGAAGTGGTAAGACCTACCCAGCAAAACCCATGGACCTTGACCTTAGTCCATGACCTTATATTGGCTCGAGCGTCCTTACCCTTCACACAATCTTCCTGTAGGAAACTCCACAATTGGCCCCGATCTCCTTATGCTTGGACTAATTAGGTTAAGCTCTTGAAACCAACCTATGAAATGCAATGGAAGGAAATGGGTCTTTATGACCTAATCCAACTTTTACAAGTTAATGTAGATATTCCTATTAGTTTGTTGAAGGCTTGTTGAGCTTCTAGGCTCCTAGTTACAACACCTTTTTCTTTGAGTCGAGCCCCATGACTACCATGCTTTCACATGTGTTCATATTTTTAGGATTGCCGATTACTAGGGAGGAGAATTTCCTTGCTATCCACAAGAAGCATGAATCATATGTTACCCTACCTGCCAAGCTTGAGTCCAAGATTAAGGTCGCCGGTTCTTATACTCGGATCATTGAGTTATTCTAGAAGAAGTCCGTAGGTGAGCCCATGACCCTTACGGAGCACCTAATTTTTATCTAGATTTTGATTAGTTAGTAGATCCTAGCTTTGAGGGGAGGAAAGCTTGTGTAATTTCATATAAGGGTGATCTAATCTCTTCTTTCTGGCAATCAACTAGCTATAAGCACTATGTTTCTTTGTTGTCTTTATGATAGTATGAGAGAGTCTATGCAAAAGAGGCCCTTCAGCAATTTTTATGGGCCTATTTGGTTCCTGAGGTTATAGGCCACAGCCTACTTTTCGAAGCTTTATCAAGGACCTTTCCCTCAAGACTTAGGAGTCACCTATCTTTTCACTTACCTGTTGGGTATGCATAGAGCTGTCAATTAGGGCCAGCCCGGCCCTAAAGGGCCGGCCCTTGAAGGGCCAGGGCCTAAACGGGCTGACCCTAATAAGCCCGATTGCATGTCAGGGTTCCATTTTTTAAGGCCCGGCCCTAGCCCTCAGGGCCTCGGCCCTATTTTTTTAAAATTATTTTTTCAATTAAAAATTATAAAAAAATATATTTATAATCATAAAAAAAGTTATTATTCATAAAATTAAGTTTAAGAAAATAAATTTAAATTAATTTACACCACAACAATAAAGAAAACTAAAATATTTAGGTCTAATATCAAATAGTAACATCAAAATGAATACCAATAAAAATTAAACTTAGTTAATATTATTAGCTAAATCTTAATAAATAAATGATGGATGGATGAATGCATTTAATATGTTCATTTCTTTGAATTATGTATTTAATCTTTTATTTTTTTATATTATAATTTTAAAAAAAATTATAAACGGGCCTAAAAGGGCCAGCCCTTTTATTTTCGGGCCTAAAAGGGCCAGCCCTTTTAGGCCCGATTTACCCTTTTAAAGGTAAAATAGAAGCCCGGCCCTCAATTTTTTCGGGCCTAAAAGGGCCGAGCCCGTAATTGACGGCTCTAGGTATGCATATGTTGAATGAGAAAATAGATTTTTTTAAAATTCTTCTGCCAACAGAGTTAGTCCTTGTGGCGGTCTCTAAAGGCCTTCAAAGTACTAGACTATCACCTTCCTACCTGGTATAAGTTTATGGTAAAGAAGAAAAATAAATCTGCATCTTTACTAAGAGATGAGATCTTCCTCTCGACTACCACACCCAAGAAGATATGGCTTCCTTATACCGATTCTTCTTCCCAATCCTTAAAGGTTTTTGTAGAGTCATATCATCTTCAACTAATGGTGAGCCAATTTGGACTGAGCCAGTATATCTCATGCGGTTTATCTTCTAGACTTCACAAGGAGTTGATAGATAAAGATGCTATCACCTGAGTGACTATTCCTCATGCCACCCAAATGCAATGCAAGGTAGAGATGGTGGATTGAGTTTGAGATGCTTGCCTCCACTTCAATAAGTGGTAGCCCTATAAGTTCAAGCGCATTGTGAAGACCTATACTAGTAAATGTTGTTTTAATGTCAGTTCTCTCTTTCTTGGGCTTACGCTAAAATTAATATTTTTAACCCGAATAATGGGGCTTGACAGCCAAAATTTACATTTTAGCACCAACAAATATTAACTAGGTTTTAAATTTTTATGTAGTTTTAACCAATCTAATACATTATTATTTACAAATGTATGACAATGAAAAGGAAAATAATTAACCATTTCAGCCCTACAATTAGTAATTTGACAATATACAATGAAAATTAAGAAAAGCTACTCCATCCATTCAAAATATAAAATATTTTTAACTAAATTTTATCTTCAATAAAGTAATTACTTACTTTCAAACAAACTCTATCTTTTTATATTTATCCCTATTAAATACCCCTACAATAAATATAAATTTATTACCAATAGGAATACTTTTTTAAAAAAATAATGATTACATTTTAAATGACTAAAAATATTTTATATTTTTAAATATTTAATTTTTTAAAAATATTTTATATTTTTATATAAAAGGAGTAACTGTTTTGATAATTTAAAAAATTACATGGTTTAATTCTCTGCTTGCATGAACTCCAGCCATATGTGACAAAATTAGAATTTTCATGAGGTTAAGATATTCTAAAAACTTCCGGAACGATCCAGGACAATCAAGAAGGCACCGGAGTCTTCTAGAATACACCGATATGACCTCAAAAGACCTAGATATCTTTAGGGTAGTGTAGAAAGTACTTGAAGCATCTAGATCATTCTAGGGATATCTTGCTCTTATACATTCTAGTAGTCTCCTTGTAAATATCAAGATATTCCTTATAGATATTTCTATAGAAATATCTAGAGATAGAATGTACACCGTTAGATCGAATCAATCCCAACCGTCCATTAAGGAGGTGGGAATTTTCTAGGGAAAGGGGGAGGCCTATAAATACCTCCTCACCCCTCATTTGTAACCACTCAAGCAAAGTAATAGATCTCTCAAGTTCATTCACTCAAGCTCTCTACTCTCTACTTGTGCATCTAGCTCCTCTTAGTCTCTTTGCCTACTTGTGGGATTCGGCTGACTTAGCAAAGATCAAGAGGGGG